TGGGTTTTGTTTTCCCTTAATAATAAAAACCTTAATTTAAAAACTGCATGTTGTGTTTACTTGTGTTATCTTTGACTAATATTTAAATGTGTTTGATGATCTGAAACATTAAAGTGTGACAAACATGCAAAAAAATAAGAAATCAGGAAGGGGGCCAACACTTTTTCACACCACTGTATATATATTACACATGTGCTTTTTGTCAGAAAACAGCATGGCGAGTGGTGACACAGACCAAGGAGAGCCAGCGGAAGGAAATTAAAAAATAGCATGGCTTGGCAAACGATATGTTCGAATAATGTGTTCTTCTTGCTTTCTAAATAAATTAATACATGTGGAAAAAATCCTCTCCCTTGTACCACACGCTCTCTGTTCTCTGCGGTGCCTCCTCCTAGCAACAACAAATGCAGCCATTTCAAGCGCAAAATAGTTTAAGACATGCTAAATTTGGGCGTTAAATAATGGCGCAAATGCCAGCAATTCTCCAGGCATGATGAAGCGGATATCGTCCTCTTTTGGAAGACCAAACAAAGTAGTTTCGCTTTCACAACGAATCACACAGGGCCTTCACAACATGGCGGCGGCGGCAACAACAATACTACAGCGAGAATAATATTTCCTTATTTTCAGTAATACCACAATAATCTCATCAATACTCTCAATAAAATATTGACAGTTATTCTTATTTTGAAGTCATATTGGTCCAAAACAGGCCTAAGAAAACTAGGGCTGTGTATTGGCATGAATTGGGTGATACAATACGTATCAAAATTCACAATTTATCACAATGTATATTGCAAAAAGAGAAAAAGAAGGATAGAATGAGAGAGAGACAGAAAAACCACATACTGATACTAATGGAGTCAGTATGATGTGTCAGTGATTATGACTCAGACCAGTGTTTATTCAGCTCATCATTACATTAACTGACATATTGATCGAGTCAGAATAACACCCTCTTCAGGGACTTTATCCTCTTCACTCAGACAGAGAGCTTGAGCTCTTACACAAACAGCACACATGATCAATAATCAACACACACTTTAGTCAAGGGTGATCCTTCATGCTGGGAATCTCACTGGCACAATGGCAAAAAACATGTCACGCACAAGACAGTATATGGCAGTCATTACTATTAAACAGCCAAAACACGGTACTTTATGTAATTTTTGACTGTACTAAAGCATAAAAATGCCATAATATGTTTGCAGATATTTAGGAAACATGCTAGGTTCACACTTGTTTCTCCAAAAAGCAATGCTGCAAGCCAGTTATTCTACTTTGAAATGTGTGTTCCCTGTCAAAATGTCTGTTTTTGTTTTGCTCTGTGTGACTCCGCCCACTGCCAGTTTACCCAACAGAATTTCAACACCCCGGGTTGCCAGATGGGGGGAAACTCAGCGTATTGAAGCCATGAAAGGCAGCAAATGAACTGGGCCAGAGATCGCAGATTCTACCC